CTGTTTGTGCATGGATTCAGTTTCTCCTTCTGTAATAAAAGCACCAGGACATGTGTGTGCAGTGTGCGGGTGCACAAGGGAAGCCACGGAACTAAGGAGACAAAGTAGGCAGCCAGGTCTGGAGACACACACACACACACACACACACACACACACACACACACACTCATCGAACAGTTAATCACTAAATTTGGCGAAAGCATCTCTGAGAGTTTGTCTGGAGCTTCATCCCCTGAACTGCACCGTGTGATCGATTCTGCAGCGCTTGCAGAAGTTCCTCTCTTATACTCCCTGTTTGTCTTCTTCCCTCAGACTGTGGTGGACCCAGACGACGGGGGATGGAGCGGCCCGACGAGTCAACCCTCCTCCCGCTTCTCTCCCTACAGCCCGCTGACCTTGAACCTCCGCTGTGCTAGCACAGACACTCCCATTCGCTAAGACCCTGAGGTGCACGGCTCGTTGTGAGAGGCTGAAGGAACCACAGACAATAACAACGTGTCAGACATCCCGTTTGGATCGAGAGCCTCGGGGAGGCCCCATCATGAAACCTTCTATCTCTGCGGGGCCCCCATCTGGCCTGCTGCTCGTCCTGATGTGCTGCCCCCTGCTGGGCTTGGTGCAGTCGGCCAGCAGCAACAAGGCCAGTGATAATGGACACCCGCACCTGGGAGACTCCGACCCGGAGCGATGCATGAGGCACCACTTTGTGGAGACCATCACACATCCGATTTATAAGTGCAACTCCAAGGTGAGCCATGAACACACCTACACACCTCCACATGTCTTTCTATCTCAGTGAGGACACTCGTGCGTTCTCCAGCCCCTTAAGCTAAATCTAAATCTGATTCTAACGCTACAATCAAGTCTCAAACACTTTCCAAAGTGTCTCACTCCGTTAGTTCCAGGCTCATAATGGTCCTCACAAAGATACGAACACAAGTTCACACACACAAATACACCTTGTTCCCCAATCTGCTTTATAAGAATTTAGTCACACGTGATAACAAGTTGTTTAAACTCACACATCCAGCGCTGATGACTGAAATCATTTTTTGTGAGTACGAGAGAAAATGTTTGTTCCAAACTAAACCTCAGAGACGCAGAGAAAACCACAGAAATCCCCCAACACAAACTCAGGAGTCGTTTATCTCACTCACATTTTTCTGTCTTCTACTTTTACTCTCACTGCCCCTCGTAGCCTTGGTTCCTTTCTTTCTCTCACTCTATCTCCATCACTCCGTCATTTAGACGAGTCATGCTTCGTTTCAGAGGGGGCTGTGTGTGTGTGTGTGTGTGTGTGTGTGTGTGTGTGTGTGTGTGTGTGTGTGTGCGTGTGTGCGTGTGTGCGTGTGTGCATGTGTGTGTGCGGTGCTGGACAGGGGCCACGCTGCAGACATATTCTGCTCCTCAGCTGGGACTCAGTTTTGGCCGAGGTGGACGTCTCCCCGTCGGCCTGCTCTCTGCCAGGGGCCACATGGAGGAGAGAGATGGAGACAGAGCGTTGATGATGATGAGGAGGCGTGGTGCTCGTTCTGTCTGAAGGGTCAGACTCACTCTTGGGCTGCGAACACATCACCTCTGCCACATCTACGCATGCCGTCCACACGAGGCTAGAAACACTTGTTGAAAAGCCGCTGGCCTCATTTAATTGTGAAAACACGACGACGGCCTCCTGTTTACGTGTGAATGTTCATGTGATGTGTAAAGTTTTCATTGTGAGAATGAACTTGAAGCCTCGGAGCCACTTTATGCAAAGACGCTGATGAATCGCTGAATTACAACAAACAAGCAAAAGCTACAGAGGAAAGAGGATTTCAATTTTCGGACTCTCCTTTTTGTCGAGCATCAGAGCAGTTGTTCCTCCAGTGAGTGATCAGCTCGTTTTTAATGTTGTGTCTCTGAGCAGGAGGCCAAACCACAGCTGAGCTCAGGCGAGGCGGGGTTGAGCTCACTCACAGCGTGAAGTGAGTTTCTATTACACTACACGGAGAACTGACAGGAAGCCGAGCGACTGTTTTACACCTCAGTCTGTACAAGTTCACTCAATCTGCACCGTGACCTGCTCTCTGCGTGTGTGTGTGTGTGTGTGTGTGTGTGTGTGTGTGTGTGTGTGTGTGTGTGTGAGTGTGAGTGTGTGTGTGGGGCATCTGCAGCCCAGGTACAGAGTCGGGTTCTGGAAGCTTTTCTCTCCCACAGTAAATTTGAATTTACAAGGACACACAAAGTTCAGTTCACTTGTCATGAGGAGCCTGTAAGTGAGTTTCCATCCGCTGTGAATTCTCATATTCAGGTCGATATCTTTAATAAATGTCACGACTGTAAAATGCTCTAATGTTCAGAAAACACGGCTTCACTCTTTTCAGCCTCCGTCTCAAACACTTGGTTTCAGCTCCTGACAAACTGCTCGACACACTTTGTTCAAATGTCACATGATGAATTCCTGACGAGGTGTCTCAGGAGCTTCTGCGTCTCTTGTCCCTTTAACAGACTTTTTAACTTTGCAGAAGTTGTGTGAATATTAGAGTCAGGCTTGTCGACAGAAACAGGAGCTTGATTTTCCATCTGTGTGCAGAAGACGATGGTTTCATTAAAACGGCGTCAGTCAAACCACGAAGAGTAAAAAATTGTAGAAACTATGAGAGAGATTTGAAATGAAGGTTTCAGTCTCTTCACATCTGTTTTTTCTGCAGGCGTCATGTCTGTCACCCATTTTCTTTTTCTACTTCTTGTTTTTAATAAATCAACGTTTCTACCTCATCAACAACCAAACATAAAAAAATATTTTATTAATATTTTGTAAATTAATTTTTTTTTATGCGCAAATTGAAAATGCACATAACAGGAGGATGTAAAACGTGCTTGTGGAAACAATTTGTCTTTCTTTGGTTGTAAAAGGAGAAAAAAGTATGAATCTGGTGATGTCATCAGAGTTTCGGTAGATGTAGACAGCCTGTATTACACTTAAGGCGTCTAATAAAAGATGTTATTGAGTTGCATTATGGGAATAGCAGGGCCGAGAGCTCGACTGATGCAGGATATCTGATGCCTCAGGTTTGGCTTTTTGAGATCACATATCCAACCTTTTGATAACAAAGTGTATTTTTGATTTTAAGAACAAAAAAATATTCTTTTGGACGTTTTGTTTTCGCTCTGAGCCTCTCTTCTGATTGGCTGATGGTTTCCTTAGTGACACACGCTGACTGTACATGTGTGACATCACAAAGTTACTGAAGTCCTGACGGCCCATCGAGGCCACGAGAATGTTTCGATACCGTCGCAATTTGTACGTTCTACAACATGAGACCTTTACATTGAATCCGAATAGTTTCATCTCTCACTCACTCACGTTATCTAAGATTCAGAAACGCTCCTCGCTCTCTGATTCGCTCCAATCTAGAATCTCGACATCGCTCTTCTCCATCACTGGCTGAGTTCAAACCCACGAGCGTCCACTGCGTAATTTCGTGTGACGCAGAGGAGCGGCAGCGTCGCACACGAGGAACTGCTGCTGCGGGACAGACCGGTCCTGAGCAGGGACAAAGACAAAGGTCTTAAAGTGGCGACAACGCTCCTGATGTGTGTGTGTGTGTGTGTGTGTGTGTGCGTGCCACCCGGCCATGGCCCCAGACAGGCTTTTGTCAAAGTGGGTACACGGGTGGCGACACACAGCAGCTGACAGAAGGACGTGACACAGGAGTCTGTTTAGGGAGGTGACAGGAATGTAGTGACCCACAGAGGAATGTCAGCCGGACGCTCACAACACTAATAAGGCCGCTGTGTGTGTGTGTGTGTTTGTGCGTGTGTGTGTGTGTGTGTGTGTGTGTGTCTGCAGCAGGTGGAGGAATGTGTGACTGGTTTTGTTGCTCTATCTCTCAGTTTGCAGGTGCAAGGCCGAAGCTGTGAGACTCAAACACACGCGGCCTCGCTGTGGCCTGAGCCCCCGTTTCTCATCGCTGTCAGACCCCCGAGGTCTCGAGGAACTGAATGACTTATCTGTGCTCTCTGTGTTCCAGATGGTGCTGCTGGCGCGCTGCGAGGGCCACTGCAGCCACACAACCCGCTCCGACCCCCTCATCTCCTTCAGCTCGGTGCTCAAGCAGCCCTTCAAGAGCACCTGCTCCTGCTGCCGGCCGCACACCTCCAAGCTGAAGGCGGTGAGGCTGCGCTGCTCCGGCGGGACTCGCATCACGGCCACTTACAGATACATCCTCGCCTGCAACTGCGAGGAGTGCAGCTGAGCAGGGAGCGGCGCCGTCCAAACCCTCAAGACTCTGAAGACCCAGCATTTTTCTTGGCCTCCGACGTTAATCTACAGCTTTCCAGAGCGTTTCGGTTGATTATTGGATCAGAGACTTGCCCCAGAGGACGGCAGCTCAACGTGCTCGTTGAAATGTTGGGAGTGACAGTTTGGAGCGATCGTACCACCCTCGCACAGGCCTCAGCATCGACCTGCAGCCCAGGGACTCACACGCAACATCTATACCCTCTCCATTATGTGCATTCAATCAGCGTAAATCATCAGAAGCATACTTCTCCAGCACTCGAGGCCAAACACCACAAACTGCTGCTCCCAGGAGGCAGCTGGAGACCCTCCTCACTGCAGAGACGCAGGCCTCCATAACACGCAGGTCTGTGAACCACAGTCTGAGAGCTCATTACAAATATCTGCCACAGGCTCCATTAAAGCTCCAGCGTGCGTTGACGACAAAATACAACACGGCTCGTTAAAAAGCAACATGGGAAAGGACGAGGCCCGGGGAGAAGGAGCGGATCCACATGTGGCGGAGCGATAGAGGGGCACCTGCGCTTATTCACCCAGTAATCTTTGACGCTCTTTCATCTAGCTGTGTAAAACACGAGCGGACAGGAGAGCTCATGATGACAGAAGGTTCTGTCGTCCTCTGGGTGGCGGCGTGGACTCAGACTGTCGAAGCTATCAGTGTTGATTTGAAATGTAAACTGTTCCTGTCGACATTATAGAAACTTTAGCTGCGATCAGGAAACTGCTGCTTTTTGCCTGTGGTGTATTGTTACTAACGACACGTCCAGTGGTTCCTCTTGTCGCTCTACATTCGTCTGTAACCAGGACGTCAAACTGTCGGGCTCAAGCGTCAGCAGCCCGTCAGACATCAACGCATTAAAAACTCATTCAAACTTCACGAAAAGGAAAACTTTGAATTTGAATAAACAGATTTTTATGTGGAAGCAGAGAAACGTCACAATATCATATTTCTGAAATGGAACCTCCTCCTGAAAACTTCATCTTGAAACTTAGAGTCCACAGAGTTTATGGTGTTTAAGTGTTTGGAACATCTGTCTGACTTTATGTGGTTTGAATTCCTCTCTGTGAAACAACCAGAAGATTAGTTCAAGTTGTGCTCAGATTCAGACACAGAAGATAATCCATGTGTCCAATGCTCAGGAGATTCAACAAAACCCGGCTGCTTCAAACAGAGTCGGTGACGTCCAGACGGCAAACGCTCGAGGACGTCGACAGTAATCAGTGGAGGCGGAGTGGAATCCATCACGTGTCATCCGTCAGTCACAGAAACCAAGAGGGAAGAAAAGTGGGAGATGAAACATCAGGAGACTTTCTGGAAAACTCAGAGAAGATCATTCAAACCAAATAAACTCAGGTTTTCACAGTAAAACGTTTCGATCAGTCGAGTTTTAATTGAGAAGTGTAGTTTCGTCAGCTCTGACTCGTCAGCAGATAGAAGTTAAATCCAGATTCAACACACTTCCTGTTGATGGAGTTCCTCTTCACTGTTTCTGCTTGTTTACATCAAACCGGAACGTTTGTTCACAGAATCGGTCCCGAGACGTTCTGTTTGTTCACGTGCTGTGTTTATGTGTGAAGAGCGTTTCACCTCCACTCCTCCATCATTTCTGCATCGTTGAGAACATAAGACGAGATGTTGAGTTTCCAACGACCAGATGTTAGCAGCTGTTAGCAGCCACCAGCTGATGTGAGGGACAGAACTGTGCATCTTAGCGCCATCAAGTGTTTTGGGCTCGTAATCACTGATACAGGCCGAACTTGAGAGTACGCTGAGGCTAAAGGTAAATCTGACTACTGGCTTGTATGGCAGCACTAGGAAAGTACTATGAAAGTACTGTGAAAGTACTGTGAAAGCCATGTGGCCCGCTCAGTGGATCAGGCATCATAACCTCTGTGCCTTTTAAACTGAACTGACCAGCAGCTGATCAGATGTAAACAGAGCAAAGAAGAAGAATCAGGTTTGACGTATAAATACATTAAACAGTCGTGATGATGGATGTGATTAAAAGTTGAGTGTGAATTATTCTAGAACATCATCCATCAGAGCTGCTTCCTCCACCAAAGTGACCATGTTTGTCTTCGTCCCTCCTCTGAGTTTGGTGGAAATCCGTCCAGCAGTTTTTGTGTGATCCTGCAAACTAACAAACCAACTCAGATTCAAACGTTAACAACTCGGCCGAGGTCGTTTTTGTGGCGTTTCTTTGCTTCCGTTGACAAGAGAAGAAAAGATGGTTATCAAGTGAAGATGTGATCTTCACTGTGGTGCAGTAAAGCTGAGTGTGAATGGACAGAGTCAGTGAAGGAGAAGAATCATCAGCTGCTTCACGTCTGTGTGGATTCATCCAGTGCCCCCCCCCCCCCCCCCCCCCATGTGAAACAACCCTCAACACGCTGCTCTGTTCTGCAGACGCCTCAGTGACGCCTGCAGCTGACTGCACGGCCGCTTCACCCAATAAAAATGGTTTTCCCTCCTCGGAGGTCAATCTGTGCTGTCTCCTCTCACTGAGCGTCTCCTCCATCAACACACACACATCAGGGCAGAGGAGGTTTTCTGACTCATGAAGCAGGAGGTGCAATGATTTGTTAACAGACAAACTGACGTCATCAAAATGAAACACCAAACGTGAGGCTGCGGAGACGACACCGTCCTCACTCCACTGAGACAGCTTAGTGAAAGGACTTAAAGGGACTTTGACAGAGGTGATGAGACAGAGGAGACAGAGGACAGACTGAAATCAAAAACATCCACCAGTCAAAATTAAGTTTTGTCAGTTAAAGGGATAGTTCACCCAAAAATGAAAATTCACTCTTTATCTACTCAGCACTATGAGGGACGGGGACGGGGGACATGGACGGGGGACGGGGGGGTGACAATAACACAACATCCTCCATACTGCTCATTGTGTTATCAGTCTGATGTCTTCCTCAGAGCCGTGGTCACTCTCGCCCAGGGGTCACCGTGACGGACGCTGTTCACAGAAGTGTTTAGTCGACTCGAACACTTCACCCATCCTCCATCAGGTGAACTATCCCTTTAAGATAAGAGGCATAAACAGCTTCATTCACATCCACTGGACACGTGGGATTGATTCTGGAAACAAAGCTGTTGACAGCCAGCGCCCCCTGCAGGATTCTACACTGCAGAGCACCTGACCTCACACATCATGTGCAGGTCGGCAGCAGATTTACAGTTCAACACTTGAATCTGTTTAAAACCACGTCACAGTTTGTTGTAGCTCAATCATTGAAATTTGACATATTTATTATAAATCCTGAATCACCTGAAGTAAAGGTTTTCCATTAAATCAAAAATAGACATAAAGCATTTACATGTAGAACAAAGAAGAAATGAATGAAGGAGCAGATGACCAGTTATTTTTGCAGTGAAGTTAGAGACCATGGAGGCAAATTAAGGAAGTTAACGTAATAAATGAAGTTCATTTATAAAGTACTTTTCACAGATAAGAGTCGCAAAGTACTTCACTGAGTAGAGTTACACAAACACACGAAAAGAACAATATAAAAATGACTTTTCCGAACTGAACTGGTTTTTAAATGGATCCACAGAATCAGTAAACATTGAGCATGTTCCATACCTGTGGTTTGAAGAAGACATTATTTATTCTGAGAGAACAGAAGCTTGTAAAAGTCTGAGTTCACGACACTGAGCTGAAGCTTTAAGTGAAGGTCCGGCTGCTTTCAGGAAAATGTGGATTTAAGTTTTTATTTCAACACTTCCTCTTCTGGAAACCTCCCATTTATTTATTTTGAAACTTTATTAGAATCTTTAAAACAGACTCAGTTTATTAATTCAACCTTCAACAACACAAACTGTCTCAGCGAAGTCCAGGAGGCTGCTGCCCCCTGCTGGGCAGCTGCTGTCCTCACACCTGCAGCTCCGATTTAACCTCATGATGAAGACGAAGATGAAGAGGAAGATAAAGATGAAGATGATATCCAGGACAACATACACACACGAAACATACATACATACATACATGAAACATACATATATGAAGCATATACACATGAAACATACATACATACATGAAACATACATACATACATTTATGAAACATACATACATACATGAAACATATATACATGAAACATACATATATATATACAAACACACACACATGAAACATACATACATACATGAAAAATACATACATGAAACATACATATATACATAAAACATACATACAT